ACACCCACACATACACACACCATCACACACTCTCACACACACTCTCAAACAGACACACTCTCACAGACACACTCTCACACACACTCTCACAGACACACCATCACACACTCTCACACAGACTCTCCAACAGACACACTCTCACAGACACACTCTCACACAGACTCCTACAGACACACCATCACACACACTCACACAGACTCCCACAGACACACCATCACACACTCTCACAGCTCACCGACTCACACACACACACCATCACACACTCTCACACAGACACACTCTCACAGACACACCGACTCACACACAGACACATCAACTCACACACACACACCATCACACACTCTCACACAGACTCCTACAGACACACCATCATACACTCTCACACAGACTCCCACAGACACACCAACTCACAGACACACCAACTCACACACAGACACACCATCACACACACTCTCACGGACACACCAACTCACACACAGACACACCATCACACACACTCTCCCACAGACACACTCTCCCACAGACACACTCTCCCACAGACACACTCTCACAGACACACTCTCACAGACACACCATCACACAGACTCTCACACAGACACACCATCACACACTCTCACACAGACACACCATCACACACTCTCACACAGGCACACCATCACACACTCTCATACAGACTCTCACAGGCACACCATCACACACTCTCACACAGGCACACCATCACACACTTTCACACAGACTCTTCCTCTCGCTCTCACACACACTCTACCCCTAGCTCACCATCGCACTGTCTCTCACACACACCATCACACACTCTCACAATCGCACAGAGACACACAGCTCGTCTACCTACCCCAACTCATCATCACACACACTCTCTCCTTCACACATACACAGACAGTGACATAGACTCCCACACAGCATCTATACCTACCATTACCTCCTCACACACACACCCACACACACACAGCTCCTGAGCACAGAGAGGGAACAGCAGCGAGCAACAGATTCCGAGCGGAACAATCTCCACTGACCAGAGATACCCTCTGAACGAGCTCCCACACACAGTTCTGATTCAGAGAGCAAGGTCTCAGATATCCCCTCGCCCCAGACTCTGACCTCCCATTTCGCCCCACAACTCTGACCTCCCATTCCCCCCCACCCCCACCCGTTCCACGGGTTCTCACATTTGCCAAGTACTCAATATCTAGCAAAGTCAGAGCAGGCACGTCAAGTACTCGAAACACTTTCTCCCAATCCCACAGTGTCTCTCACTCTCTCACACAATCTCCCTCAATCTCTCACACAGTGTCTCTCACTCTCTCACACACAGCCTCCCTCACTCTCTCACACATAGCCTCCCTCACTCTCTCACACAATCTCCCTCACTCTCTCACACACAGCCTCCCTCACTCTCT